ACAGCACTTGGTATTATACCACGCCTCAAGGTGCCAGGGGGCACGGTGACGGATCAGTAGCCTGGCGAAGGACCCAGCCACATGAAACTGCGAGTAGCGCTAGACGCGGCTCTTTCTCTGCATGGAAAGCGGACCTCCCGAGGTCTTCGGTGTAGTTCCATATGGGACTACATGACGTGTGAGGGGTGTCGAATAGGGCGGGGCGGCAACATGCGAGCCCTTCCACTGGGGTCTTCGGTGGACTTCCATATGGGGTCGCTATGCTTTTGAGGGGTGTGCCGAGTTGGGCGGCGCGGCGCCATACGAACCTTGTGTCTGCGGCAATCGGTGGAGTTCGTTATCGTGTGCCAGAATTGGGCGGGCCGACGCCATGCAAACCCGTCCGCCAGGCCCGAAGCGTGTAAGGGATGTGCCGAACAGGGCGGGACGGCGCCACGCGAACCCTGTAACTGAGGCCTTCGGTGGGGCTATTCTATGCGGCCCCGAAGGGTGTGAGAGGTGTGCCGCCATGCGAACCCGTCCGATCGGACCTTCGGAGGAGCTCTCCATGGGTACACAAAATCTGTAAGGCCGTGCTGGCATGGGCAGGGTGGCGCCATGCGAACCCTTCTTGCGCTGGGGCTTTCCGTGGGCCTCCCTGTTGGGCCGCACTGTGCGAGGGGTGTGCCGAATTGGGCTGCGCGGCGCTATGCAAACCCTGTCGTTGAGGCCTTCGGTGGAGCTCCATCTGTGGTCACGAAGCGTGTGAGGGGTGTGGTGTGCCGGAATGGGCGTGGTGGCGCTTATCGGGCCACGAAGCATGTGAGGGGTGCACAGAAGTGTGCGAGGTCCCGCCATGCAACCCGTGCGCTGAGGTCTTTAGTGGAGCTCCCTATGGGGCCACGAAGCGTGTGAGGGTTGTGCCGATATGGGTAAGCGAAGGGCAGAGGCGGGATGGGAGGACGCGGGATGTTGCGGATCCAAAACAGGGCCCTATAGCACAGGTTAGGAACAAACAAAACAGGCTTGATCGACTCCACGTTGGACAAGCCCCTGCCAGAGGTGCCCCGCGTGGACCGCGGCCGGTTCAAACCCGTCAAGGCGACGCTCATTTTGACGCCGTCCAACCTGCTAGATCAGTGGATCAACGAGATCGGTAAGTTCGTTCATGACGGTAACGCTATGCGCTTGGTCGGGGGCTGGGGGCCGAAGGAGTGCCCCCTGAAGGTCTTCGCTCTCAAGTCCGTCACGCCACTGAAGGGCGCAACGGTGAGGCAGATTGCGGAGGCGGACATCGTCATTTGTTCCTACAGGCTTCTCTATTCCAACGTGTACCAGGCCAGGCGTGATGCGATCCTTGGGGAGAGGAAGACCTCTCTGCACGACCTGGCGATGGCCACCGAGCGTGCCATGCAGTCACGGCCGAGCGGGAACCACGGTGGGGAGTGTAAGCGCCTGCGGCAGCCTGCGAAGCAGGCGCCAGGTCAACCTGCTCAAGTCCCAGAGGCAGCCGAGTGCGCCAACATAGACGACTTGATGTTCCCGCTCCTCGAGCAGTTCTACTGGCGGCGTGTGGTGTTCGACGAGTTTCACGAGCTGGAGAGCTTCCAGAGCGCTCAGCAGGTCCCCTGGCCAGTTTTTCGTGCCTCGTGCTCCTCCTCCTCTTCCCTGTTCTTCTTCCACTCCTCCTCCTCCTCCTCCTCATCGTCCCCGTGGAACTGTTGCAGAAGGCGCGTACCGTGCGTTATGCGCATTCGCAGGCCTGAGAAGGTCGCAACATGTGATGGCTGTATTTCCCCAGGACTCCATCCCGCAGAGGGCACTTACACACGACTTCACCGAGCCTGGCCAGGGCCACCCTGGGCCTCGGATGGTGCACAGATCCTCCAGGCATTGGCCAGGAGAGTGTATGCTGCGTGCAAGGGGGGCTCATGATGATCCTGGCCACGCATGGTGGTGATGTGTGGGTACCCTTCTGCGCATCTCTTCCCCTAGCCCCAGAAGGACGTCACATGCACCAACTCGCCTCCCAGTGAGATTCAGAGAGAGAGAGAGAGAGAGAGAGAACAAACAACAGAGAAAGAGAGAAAGATAGAGAGTGAGAGAGAACAAACAAGAAAGCGCGAGAACGTCGATAGTTTTCAGCGGTGCTCGGGCTGTCGGAGCTGGCTCTTCGGGGGAGCACGCCTTTCCCGGCCACATCTTCGGGCCCTGGAGATGCCCGAGCACTGGCGTCTCCAACCCTCGCCCGAATGAGCGCCGCAGGCTTCGAGTATGGACCCCAGACCCCCGACATCACAGCGTGGACCGCCCAGAGGTCTTTCGACACCTTCCCCCGACCAGCTGTTCACCTTGAATCATTTGGGGGCGGGTCCCTGGGCTGACTGAGGGCCTCCAGAGTCCGAAGATGACCAAAAACCTTCCATCGTGTTTTTTTGTCGGGTTCTGTCGGGGCGACGGAACATGTGGCGGAGGAGCAGAGTTCCGACTTTGGAAGGCTTTTTCAGCAATGTTTTCTCATCTCGAGGGCTTCACGGAGGCCGCGGCATCTATAGTCTTGGGTCGATGGCTCACATTCCCCCCCCTAGATGGCAAAGGCCCCTGAGTTCCAAGGCTCGCATGGCGCCACCGCACACATTTCGGCACACCCATCACGCGTTTCGTGGCCCCGTGGGGAGTCCCGCCGAGGGCACAAGAGGCGGCGTTCGCATGTGGCTCCGTACCCATTCTGGCACACCCCTTGCACGTTTCGTGGCCCCGTGGGGCACTGCACCGAAAACAATCATCTTTTCGGCGTTACTCTGAACTGCATATGGTTAAGTCCTTCGCCAGGATAATTCGTTTGTTTTGCTTGTTTTCCCAATCATCCTGTGGTTTTGGGTCCTCGTTTTGAAGAAAGCGCTCCGCCGCGTCACCCACATCACCTCCCTCCCGCTGCCACTCCCTCCTCCCTTCCATGCTTCCGCATCACCACCACCACAACCAGTGAAATTTCGGCACACCCCTCACACGTTACGTTGCCCCGTAGGGAGCTCCACCGAAGGCCACATTGGCAGGATTCGCATGCGCCCACCGCACCCATTTCAGTGTGCTCATACGTTTCGTGGCCTCATAGGGAGCTGCACCGAATGCCCTTGTGGGAGGGTTCGCATGGCGCTACCGCGCTCATTTCGGCACACCCCAATACAGGATCCGTGGCCCCATTTGGAGCCCCACCGAAGGCCCCAGTGGGAGGGTTCCACCGCGCCGATTTCGGCACACCCCTCACAAGTTATTGGCCCCATAGGGAGCTCCACCGCAGGCCCCAGAGGGAGGGTACAACATGGCGCCACCGCACCGATTTCGGGCCTCACACGTTTCGTGGCCCCATCGTGAGCTCTACCGAAGGCCCCAGTGAGCGGGACGGTTCGCATGGCACCACCGCGCGAATTTCGGCCCCCCTTCGCACACGTTTCGTGGCCCCATAGAGAGCTCCACCGAAAGCCCCATTCCGAGGGTTCGCATGGCGCCACCGCGCTCATGTCGGCATACCCATCACACGTTTGGTGGCCCCACAGGGGTTTCCACCGAAGGCCCCTCTGGGAGGGTTCGCATGGAGTCCACCGCGCCCCTTTCGGCACACCTCTCACACGTTTGGTGGCCACATAAGGAGCTCCACCAGGGCCCGAGTGGCTGCGTTCGCATGCGCCCACCACACCACTTTCGGCACACGCCTCACATGTTTGGTGGCCCCATAGAAAGCTCCACAGAAGCCCCCAAAGGGAGGGTTCGCATGGCGCCAGCGCGCACATTTCGGCACACCCCTCACACGGGTCGTGGCCCCAGAAGCGGACTCCACCGAAGGCCCCAGCGGGAGGGGTTGAGTGGTGCCACCACGCCCATTTCGGAACACCCCTCACACTTTTGGCGGCCTCATAGGGAGCTCCACCGAATGCCCCAGTGAGAGGGCCCGCAAGGTACCACCATGCCCATTTCGGCACAGACCTCATACGTTTCGGTACACACCTCGTACGTTTCCAGCATCGTTTTATTTTTAGTTGTGCGAAGGCGTGCCCCCTCCAGAAAACCCACCCCCCGAAGCTCCCCCCAGGGTCATGACCCCCCCCGATCCCCCCCCCAAAATTAGCCAGGCGAATAACCCAACCATATGCAGTTGTGAGTAACGCAGTCGTGATTATCGTCTTCGGTGGAGGTCCCCATGGGGCCGCGAAGCCTGTGAGGGATGTACCGAAATAGGTGCGGTGAGCCAGTGCGAGCGCAGCCAGTGGGGTCTTCGGTGGAGTTCCCGATGGGGCCACGAAACGCGTGAAGGGAATGCCGACATGGGTGGGGCAGGCGCATGCGAACACCGCCACTGGCGTCTTCGGTGGAGGTCCCTATGGGGCCGCGAAGCGTGTGAGGGATATACCGGAATGGGTGCGGTGGGCGCGTGCGAACACCGCCACTTGGGCCTTCGGTTGCGCTCAATATGGGGCCACGGAGCGTGTGAGTGGTGAGCCGAAATTGAATTGGGCGGACGCATGCGCACACCGTCACTGGGGCCTTCGGTGACGCTCCCTATGGGGCCACGAAGCGTGTGACGAGTGCGCCGAAATGGACGCGGTGGCGCCATGCGAACCCTCCCACTGGGGCCTTCGGTGGAGCTCCCTATGGCGCCACGAAGCGCGTGATGGTTATGCCGAAATAAGCGGGGCAGGCGCATGCGAACACAACCACTGGGGGGCCTTCGGTCGAGCTCCTTATGGTGCCACGAAGCGTGTGATGGGTGCGCCGAAATGGGTGCGGTGGGCGCATGCGGACGCAGCCACTGGGGCCCTTGGTGGAGCTCCATCTGGGGCCACGAATCGTGTGAGGGGTGTGCCGAACTTGGCGCGGTGGGCGCATGCGGACGCAGCCACTGGGGCCTTCGCTGGAGCTCAGTATGGGGCCACGAGCCGTGTTAGGGGTGTGCAGACATGGGTGTGGTGGGCGCATGCGAACGCAGCTACTGGGGCCTTCGGTGGAGTCTCCTATGACGCCAC